ATCTTTATATATATATATATATATATATAAATGTATACAAAATTTTACTCCCAAATCTTCAAACATAACATTTTTCTAATCATTTATATGTATCACTCATTACCTTTAATCTTCTCGGCTAAGTTTATTAGAAAAATTTGGAATGTTTCCAACCCGCCAGAAAAGTTTGAATTTCGTTTGAAGAAACGAATTAATTCCCATGCGAATCTCTATTCGTCGTTCGATGAGAGCAATGATCTAAATATTAAAATAATGCCCTTTAAATCTCTGTAAAGGACGCGATATAGAGAAACAAATTCAAATTGCAATTACAAAGAATCGTTTCAATTTCAATTCGTGTTTTTAAGATTATTCATTTGTAACGATTAGACGAATTCTATTTTATTTTAGGATACAAAAAAAAAACAACGTTCGTAATACAAATTAAACGATATTATTATCGCCCCTTTTTTTCTTTCTCTTTGTTAAATTTCTATCTAAAGTTATATATGAATTTTTATACATCAAATCAATTACCATACGTTTAAATTAAACTATTATAAAGAATTATCATATATAATTATATAATTTAGAAATAAAATTTTGTAAAATTAATATTCTTCAAGAATTTGATATCGATAAAATATATATGATATTTCTAAATAAATAAAATATATTTTATAAGACACACTAACCGTTTCGTCCTTATGTCGAGCACCGTCTTACTTGAGCAGCATTAACAGCCGATGATTTTATATACATACATATATACGTTATCGTGCTACACGCTTATAAACAAATATTTACATTCAAATGCGAATGGACTTTTCTAAACACAAGCTTAAATAATCGAATCACGAGAAAGAGGGGAATCACGGGAACGGGGGAGTGCTTTTGTCTAATCTACAAAACGAGATTAAGTTAATAATCGAGGAAATAAAAAAATAAAATGGATTAATATGTTCCTGGAGGATAATGAAAATTTGTGAAATATTTTTCTTAATTTATCTTTTCTACTTTCTTTCTTTCTTTCTTTCTTTCTCTTCCTTTCTTTTCTTCTAATCACATGTACTTATAAGAATACAAGTTTAACCTCGCGCCTCGAGCTTTCCGTTCGCACTAAATTCAAGTTCGACTACTGTAGTATTTCTAAATGAGCTTGAAGACCCGCGTCCCCCACTATTCGACGTACGGTCCCGTTCAACCAATCGGAGCCACGCAGGCGCACCCCCTTCTTTATCGCTATCTCTCTTTCTCCGTGTATGCGTATATCTAATCCGCATCCCCACTGGGGTGGTGTATTCGCCACTCTACCAGGCCACCGATTTCTAGCAATCCCTTTCGTTCCTTTATTTTTATCTCTCTCTCTCTCTTTCTATTTATTTTCGCATACGGCAATTTCGAATAGGTTCAACTATTTTAATTATGTATACATATATATATACATAGATACATATACAAGTTGCCTCAATTAAACAGATTTCTACGAGATATCTCACATTTTTAATATATGTGTACTTTCATATAGATATTTAATTATTTGAACCTCTTTTTTTTTTTTGCAATTCGAATCTACGATTATCTTTTCCATCCATCGATATTATCAACTTTATTTTTATCCTATTGACGCGCATCGGTTAATTTCTAGCCCTTATGTATTAACCTTGAGAAGGATTCCACGAACTGATACCTTTTTCCTCTCCCATCCCATAAACTCTTCCTCGTGTTCCAGTAAATTTAAACTTTGCCGTCCTTTTTTTCCCTTCTAATAAAAAATATTACACAAAAATCATCATTACTCTCATTCCTAATTTTGTTCGTTCATTGAAGTCCGGATATATTTCAATATTATTTGTCAATCCTTTGCCGATACTTTTCAACTATCGTTTTTATTTGATACTTGTCATTGTTTCAATGTTTGAAAAATTTCTTAAACACTGAAAGGTATCATTTGACTTGTTCGAAACTTTATAACACAGAATACCAATTTACAATTTTCTTGATTATGTGGGAGATTCAAGACTAAGACACCCCTTTAACCCCTCTTAACGTTTGCCATTCGCCATGCGGCTTTACGATAGAGCGCTTGCGTCGGAAGATCATGAATGGAAGCTTCGCTCAATGCAGCTTCGGCCGTTATACTTTTATTTGCCTCTTGTGGAATGTTGCGGTTTTCCCTTAAAACGCCGAACTATGTCCTAACTTGATTCGATAAATCAAATTTCATCAACGTGATAGCTCTGCCATTTTAAAATTAATTAAATCCTAATTGTTGACTTTAAATTAACGTTCTAATATTCAATGCGTATATACATATATATATATTGATTACATATATTAAGTATAAAAATAAATTCGTTATCTTTATATTAAATTCATTGTATTGACAATTGTTTCTAAGAATTGATCAAAGTCATCGAAAATAATCATGGAAACTATTTCGAAGAATAACACAGATATATATTTATAAATAAATATTAAATTTGTTTTAGAAAAAGAAATACTGAATATAATTGTTGTTCCTAATGTTATTACAAAAAAAATTGATACGTCAACGTATACATCAATTTTGAATATTATAATATTACAGTTATCTGTATTGAAATATTTCTTCCTCTTACGATCTCTTTTTAATGAGAGGATCTAACTAAGTTAAAAAAATAATTCTAAGGCACATAATTTTATGAATGGACTTTTACGTGTACCACGGCCACCACGTGGTGGGGTGCTGTGTGCCGCTTTAACGATCGAGTCGTGTGAAACACACTTTTTCCCTGCTTTCTATCTATCGCGTCAGTCCTCCTCCATATTCCTCTCCACCCCTTATCAGTAACCACTACTACCACCAACCACCAACAGGCACACGCGCGCGCGCACGCGACATTGCATACAGGTGGTGGTAAGCTTTTGTACGCGTACGGTATAACCCTCTATGTGTATTTATATATACATCTATATGTGTATGTGTATGTATTTTCATCTCTATACACAGAATCACGGAAAGCTCTCACGAAGCTGCATCAATAAACGTAATCAGACGTACACTCACTTCTCTCCCACTCTTTCATCCTCCTTTTCTCTCTCTATAGAGAAATAAAATTGATTTCTAAAAGAGAATATGTTTATTTTACTGTTCAATTTTCTAACTTCCCTTCCGACAAATATTCGAATACAACGATATACAAAATTTGTCTAAAAATAAACGAAGAAAATTCTTTACTTCCGATACATTCTTTTGTACAAAAAAAACTGATGAAAGAATATATATATATATATATACGTGTAGAAGATAAAATAACATCATATTTGTTAGTAACTTTGTTTAAACAGGGATAGCATAGTATTATATACTATTCTATCTAAAGCAATATATATTACATGTACCTTTTCATGTACCTTGATTATAAAAAGCTCTAAGAAAAATATATTACATATAAATAGAAGTTAAAATTAAATAGAAGTTTAATATTATCAGATAGATAATTCTTAGTTAATTTTTTATTTCACTTTCACAATTTAACGTTTAGTTTCATATTGACGAAAATGATATCGCTTAATAACGAAGAGAGATCGTTAATATCATCTTAGGATGATAATAATCAATTGATATTAAATCATCGTGAGAGATGTATCTATTTAATATCATGAAAATATCAATTAGAATAACGTATATGTATAATTACATAAATATATGTAACATCTATTCAATAATAAAGTATAAAGAAATAAAAAAAGAAATAAAAAGAGTTTACCAAGGAACGATGAATCGTACATGCATACATATGCCTGTCTCTATGTATGTTACGTGTTATGCGTAGGCGCACGCGCCCCTTCTGTGTGTATGTGTGTGTATGTACGAGCGTTATACGTAGCCGCGTATCTCAATGATAGGGTAAGGGAGGGGCAAAAAGGAATGGGAACGTCGATGAACGAATATCCTTACCCCCTCTTTCTCTCCCTGATACGTGGGTGCTCCCAAGGTCACCGCAAGTGCAAAACTACGTAGTACGACGCCTCCGTCGCGACGCCCGCGCATGAAACGTGGGCGCCGCGTGTATATATATAGATCTCTCTACAGGTCGTTTTGTTTTAACGACACCACCTCTCCGATTCAACCCTGAAAATAACGAAAATGTTTATTTTATTGTTTATTTTTACGAATAAATTGTTTCCATTTATTTGTCTTTCAAATTATTTTACCTAATTCTCTTATATATTTCAGATATTTTATAAAATGAGAATTGTTTTTTATTTTTTTATGAAAATTGAATTTTTTAAATGAATATTTGTACAATATATTAAAAAAAAGGTCGTGAATATGTCAATGAAAAAGTATTAAAAATATGTACATGAGATAATGATAGATTTACAGCATACATAAATATATATGTATATATTATAATCGTATAGATACTTACAAATCCTTTCAGAGACAAAAGTGAACTGGAACGAACGGTAGATCGCCGGATAAAAAAACCGACAAGATAGATGATCCCACTTTTCCAGCAGATTCCATATCTCGCAAGATGGGGGTTGAATTCTTTAACACGATTACTTCATTGTCAGTTAGTCTCTATTACAAAAGACATATCATTAAAATTGTGTAACTTCAAAGGGTGTAAAAACGAAAAATATTTCGATAATCGACTAAATTAGATTAAAAATTTTCATTAATCTTTAGATCAATTTAAAATTCATCTGTTTTCATGCATGCAAAAATATTATCGTTTTACCTTGCTAAATTCTACGGAATGGAAACAACGTTTAATTAGTTTTTTAATTAACACCTGAAACGAATTTATAGAATTTGGAAAAATCATTGTGATTAATTTTATTGACAAAATACATATAATGAGAAATTCGTATCTTTAATAATACTTTTTTTGTCAATCTTTAAATAATAATAATAATAATAATAATAATAAATTATACCGTAAGTAAAATTTTGAAACACTTGAAATTTTCAATTCGTTAATATTTCTGTACAATGGAATACTTTAGTAATTTTTACTTTTTGTTACTAAATTTTCTCGGTGTTATTTGAACTTTGTACACTTTGCATATCTTCAATCTACAAAGATATTTTTTTCTAACATGTTAAATGATCGTAATAAGTCAATCAATGAATTATTAAAAAGAAACTCGAAAGGTTGCAGAAAAATTCAATGTTGATCATTCAACAGTTATTTGATATTTAAACTACATACATTTTTAAATTTGGTACTTCAAAACTGCAATTATTTTTACATCAAACTAATACGTATCTATTGTACTAGTAAGTGTGTAGGTATTTATTTAGTTTTTTATTAGTTTTATTTTAAAGATTATATGCACAATGAAAATATTGTCATAATTTTTTCATTATAAAAACATATCGCTTTAATTGTTAATGCTCTGGCCATTTCTATTCTTATTTGTATCATTTATTTTATGTTTCTAATCTAAAGTCTAAAGTAAACGAAAGTTTAACTACTAACAAAAAATGACGAAAAAATATTTAAAAGAAATTTATTATAAAAATATCGTATAATAGGCGAACCTTAAAAAAATGATTAACATATACGAATTGAATTTTTGCCAACAACAATTATAACTCCGTCCTCCTGTAAATCTTTCAAAGCATCTTCAAACATTTCGCGTGTCACCAACTAAAAATTAATACATAAAAAATATATCATATAATACATATAAAAATGTGATACAAGAGAAGTAATCTAATAAAATATAATATATTTACCAGGTCAGATGATCCTCTAATTTCAGTAAAAACTTTCTGATAATTAAGCATAGATGTTTTATTTTTCGATTGAATCAATTTCTTAAGAGCCTCGTTTAATTCAAATCTTCGTTTTCTGGCTGCTGAAGAAATTCCAGTAGTTAAAATACTGATGTCAATCTTACCGCTTAAAGGATCAATAGCTGATTGTTTTAAGGCTTCACGATGTAATCTATTCAGAAATATAACATTTTATTTGATAATTATTTATTGTATAATATATTTTCAATATAGTAAATTGATTAATTTTTAATTTTAACCTCCATGCTTCTTCTACATCTTCAATTTCTACAACATTGCTGAATCGTATTTTTGCATGAGCTTCAGATAATCGTATCAAAGATTCTAATTGTCTCGGATAAGCAGTAATTTGTCCACGGCCACTACCTACTCTCCTCATATCAACATAAGCTTGAATCAATCTCTGTTGACTTTCTTCATTGAGAGTCGGATGAATGTGTTCTTTAGCATATGCAATGTAATCACGGAGTATACTCATATCTATGATTTCATCTTCATCCTCTAATTCAGTTTTATAATAAAGAGATACCAAATGGCGTGCTAATTTTCTATCGAACACTTCGCTTTGAGGATCTAACATAAGAAAGATTAAATCGAAACGAGACATTAATGTATGAGGTAACATCACGTTCTCGACGACCTGAAAAAAATTATAAATTCATTAAGTATTGTCCATATAATAAGTACCATATGCATATAAATATATATATGTATATATTCACCGTTTTATTTTTATTCCATTGTGATCCACACGGATTTGCAGCAGCTAATATGCTTGTTCTTGCATTTAATTGACAAATGATTCCTGCTTTGGCAATACTTAAGGTCTGCTGCTCCATAACTTCGTGCAAAATAGAACGTGTACTATCATTCATTTTATCGAATTCGTCTATACAACAAATGCCGTTATCTGCTAATACCAAAGCTCCAGTTTGTAATACTAACTGTCTACTTTCTGGATCCTTGGTTACATAAGCTGTTAAACCAACAGCACTAGAACCTTTTCCACTACTGTATTGTGAACGTGGTACCAAATTGTAAACAAATTGTAATAACTGTGATTTGCTGGTACCAGGATCACCGCAAAGTAATATATTAATTTCTGAACGAAAATGTTTCCTTCTGATGAGACCTTCACCTTTTTTTGTACCACCAAAAAGTTGAAGTAATATACCTTTCTTCACGTCTTCATTTTCGTAAATACTTGGTGCAATATGTCTGGCTAATCTCTCATAAACATCCTCCTTTTGAGATAATAATTGTAAAAGTTCTATTCTCTCTGCTGGAAATGCATGGTCTTTACCTTCTTGTTGATCATATAATCTTTTTGAATCATGTTTCCTAAAGTGAACGACATCAATATGTGTTTTATAAACAGCACGTACATTTGATTGTCTTGGGTTAACACGTAATGGTTGAGCACGATATATTCCTGTAACATATACCCTATCGCCAGGAGAAACAGCATCAACTAAATCATTATGTGCAAAAATGATAACAGTATGAGGAGTGTGTCCAGCAGGCATATCATCAGGCGATTCTTGTAATTTAATCATTTGTTTATCAGAGAAGTGGCTGCGATTGTGTATCAATGTAAAACAATAATTATTGTTACATTTTGTACAAGCCGTAGGTTCTACTATACGGCCTCTATCCATTTCTACCAATGTAGAGAATCCACATATAATACATTCAAAGAATGCTTCTCTCATCTCTGGCATAATATTAGATGTTCTGATCACCATACCAGAAACAGTAATTAATTGATCTATATCTTCTGGATTAAGCAAGCGCATACTTTTAGTTCTAGTAACATTAAAAGGCCGTACTTGTATCTGGTGTTCTAACACTGCAGCTGGATATTTTTCAAAAAACATTTCATTAGCTGCCATATCCATAGTAGGTATGACTTCTTGTGGATAACATATTAATTGTCGATATAATTGTTCATCAAAAACCTCCAAATGAGCACAATTTATATTCAAATATGGTTCTTCTAATGTATGAATTTCTTCAAGCTTTTGTAAATATAATGGCTCTGATAAGTTCATGTTTTCTGGTAATTCATCATTCTCAGCTTCTGGATCAATAAAGCGAAGCACAAAACGTTTGAACTGCTCTTTACAACGATTCACAACCACATTTGTACCCCATATTACTAACTGTGGACCTGTGTTTTCACTTTCCGATGTACCTGGAATAGCTGCTTCTTCAGGAATCTAAATAAGAACCAAAAAACACACCAAAAATATTTCTTTTAGTAATGTTTCCATTTTTATTGTTTAAATTATTACTGCTAAATAAATATTTATTATTTACCGGTTCAGACAAATTAACCTGACGTAGATGCTTATCTGTTCTAATATCTGTTCTTTGCCGAATAGGTGTTCCTCTAACACCACTTCGTGGAGTACGTATAGATCCCAGAGAACTAGGAGTACCATAATTCAATGGAGATGATAAGTCTATTTCGCTCATTCCTGCAGCAAGTGGACTTTGTTGTGCCGCAATTGGAGAAGATGCAGGAATTTGGGAACCAGCCTCCGATGATCCAGCAATCGTCTCTTGAATACGACGATTTCCCCATCGTAATGGAGTTTCTACAGTATTGTTGCTCGGTCTTTTTTGTGGAGTTCCTGTGTAATACAATATCTAATGAATATATTTTGGTTCAAAAAAAGCATTCGCAGTAAAATAATAATACATGAAAAATCTGACAAAACCCAATAATTTTTCCATTAAAGTAATATATATATAAGCTTTGGAAATGAAAAATGTAATTATTATTTAATATATATATATTTATGTTTAAAAACCTCTATTGGAACCACTGTCATTGCTTCGACTGGAACGAGGCGGACCTAATGGGCTTGACATTGTGTTTATAAGTAATATAATGTATAAACTACTGTTTTCCAATTCTAAATAGCTGTAAAACAACAAAGAAATCGTTATGGATTACACAAAACTTAAATAATTTTAATAGGTTATATACATTCTACTTACGCATATAGCTGAACTTTTTCCCGGCAAAACTTTTGTTCATTAAACCATATACCAGTAGGTTATCAAAAAATAACCTATCGTATATGAAACAACCATGCTCATTGGTCGAGTACAATTGACAAGTAAAACGATTTTAAACTTTTACCGCGTTACGCTACAAAGATCTGTCGGACTTTCTGATTAGTTCTTCAATCATTATTATTAATTAAAATGATATTGATAGAACTAATTAATAAAATACTGAAGAATATTTTACTAAAGTTAATTTTCCAATAAATATTTATTCTTTTTATTCATATATTAAAATATATTAATTCTTAAGTTAGCAGAAAAAATTCGTACAACGCGCATGCGTAAATAATATCACACATACAAAAATCTATATTAATCTTATAATTTGTCTTTCTCTATCTAATAATCAAACGCATTATATGTAAATACACACGAAAAGTAAATGTCTTCTTTAGTTAGCTAACGAAAATCTTTCTTTCTCGTTCAATCAAAAATTGATTTAATGAAATAAAGAACAGAAAATAAAAATGTATTAATTTTAGATTCTAATGAATATTTTGAATCTTATGATTATTTATTATAAGCTACGTAATTTCATCCTTGAGAATTTTTTTCTCTTAATTGCCTCTCTACGTTTCCCGCCAACATGGCAATATGGCGGCGCTCGTGTAGTTTCCCGCCAAGTAACAGCTTTAGTAGGACCATTCTCGTATGGCGTAGATAACCGACAGTTGTGTTTTATTTGTCCATATTATTTTAAAGCCATTGTTCGTAATATTCAACGTGAAAAATGGGAGAATCGGAAGATATGGAGGACTCGACTTATAGTAGGCATCAAGATTTATGTCAGAAATTAAATATGGATGCAACTGCTGCTTCTGAAGCTTGGAGATCATACGAAACTATTCGACAAAATTATACCTTGGAGGTAATTTTAACATTAATCTAATTAAAATGGAACAAAAAAATAAACAATATATATTTTTTCTATTTTATAAAATAATAAAGCTAAGTAAATTTATTTTATTTTCATTCCAAGTTATGTCAAACCTGATGATACAATGACATTCTATTTTTCATCATATATGTTATTTTATTTCTATTAAATATTTTTATACAAATATTAATTCACTTATTAGTTCATTTAATACAATTAATGTTATTTAAGTTATCTATATTATATAAATAGGTTTGTGGCATAAATGATATATGTATTTAATTAATAATTGTCATATTTTTAGGGTGATCAACTTCATTGGATAGGATGCGCCTTATATGTTGCATGCAGAAAATCTTCTACACCTACCGTTGGAAGAACAGGTAGCAATGTAGAAGGAAATGGTGTATCTTTAACTCGTCTTTTACAATTATGCAATCTACCATTGATACAGTTCTTTACAAAAAGTAAATCTTGGGCAGACATGGCTAGCATGCCACAAGATTTCAGGGAAAAGATTGATAAACTAGAAGGAAACTTTTCAGTTTCTATGGTTATTTTTAAAAAGTATCAGCCAATTTTTACTGACATATTTAAAGATCCATCCGATGACATTTCAAGACCATCTAGATCGAGAAGAAATAAATCATTTCCTTGTACACCATCAAGAGTATTTGAATTTTGTTGGACATTATTTATTTGTATAAAAGGAGCATTTCCCGACATATCTGATGATTTAGTTAATTCTTATCATTTACTTTTGGCTTGTTGTGACCTTATATATGCCAATGCTTTAATGGCAAATAGGAAAGATCTTCTAAATCCTAATTTTCCTGGTAAGATAAAGTTTTATTTGTATTTATTTCATTATAAACTCAATTAATATTTTTTTAATAAAATGTACTACTTTTTACAGGTTTGCCAGGAAATTTCAATGATGAAAATTATATACCACCGCAAAATCCAAATTGTATTATTAATTTATTATGCGAGCGTCATGAAGCTGTTGCCGTTGAAGCAAAATGTATCAAAGAATATCACTTGAAGAATCATATTAATAAGTTATTTAATGAGAGAATCCTTCGTGGAGAACAGTCTAATTTTTCTGGTATTTTAGAAGCTTCAAATTTTGATGGAAATAGTAAAGCTGTTAATAAAGCATATGAGCAATATGTGTTGAGCGTTGGAGACTTTGACGAAAGAATATTTCTAGGTAAAAATTCTCTAAATTTGTTTAATGCTTATTAAATATTTAATTTTAACACATATATTTATATATAGCATATATAATTTAGCTTTCGCATGTACTTTCTGTTTCTTTTTTGTTGTTATTAATTTTTTTTTTTCATTACAATGCTTATGCAGCTCATACTATAGTATGTTAAAGCATGCCAACCCGTTTAACATTTTTTATTTAAACTCATAATTGATGTTACTTTGTTAAATAACACTCACACATTAATATGTACTATTTAATTCATCTTTTATTTTTTTATTTCATTGAAACATTGAATATCATTTAAAATCATCACATTTCTTTGTTTTTTTTTACCATTACATTCAATTTAAAGAGATTGTCATTAACTGTCTATTTTTATCTTATCTTTAAATAATTTTCATTTCTTGCGGTTAACCGATTTGTGTCTGCTTTGCCTTGGCTGTGGTTTGCAGCTGAATGGAGGAGAGTGAGACTAGGCGGGATATCAAGCTTGGAAATAGTTGGAGGAGATATTGTTTGTCGTACTAAATTTGCAAAACCTATGCCTATAAAAGGTAGGTTTATAACTTTCTTTTACTATTCCTGATATTCCATTGGAAATCAATTTTTATGGTACATTTCTATTTCTATTTTTTTTATTACTGTTGAAAAATGATATATTTAATATATGAAACAAAATATATATGTATAAATATATACGGGGTGTCCTGTAACAGGGGTAATACAAGCGAACTGGGAGTGATTCTACATGAAAAATTAAAGCGATAATGTAGAATAAAATTTGTTCATATAAAGCTTTGTTTTTAAGAAAAATAGGTTAGAAAATTTGTCAATTACCGCATACACTTGATACAGTTTCAGCTCAACGGATTTTATTATTTTACTCTCCCTGCTCGCTTGTATCATTATTTACAGGACTCTTTACATATATAGGATAGAATATGCATGTATGTATATAGAAAGTAATTAATTATATAGTTATAGACTTACCTTCTTAATTTATACATTTATTATTAAAATTGCTTTGCCATTTTTTTCATAAATTATAAAAATGGTCAAGCAAATTAATTTAAATCTTATCTTATAAATATATTAAGATATATAAGAATATCTAAATAAATGAATTCATTTACAGGTCAAGATGCTAGTGATAATATTGGTTCACCTGCACAGGGTAGTAGTAGTAGCGATGTTCATGATCAGTTTCAGTCAAGACGAGATCATTATGCAGGAGTAAGTTTACAATAGTTTCATTTAAATTAGAATTAAATGTCATATCGGAGACTATTTACGATTATTATAATTAAATAATTATATTTTAATTTTTACAGCAAATGCAACATTTAGCTCCTCCTACTCCACTAACAGGTCGCAAATATCTCAAACCAAAGGATGTATCAAGCGCAACTCCAGTTTTTACAGCTACTCAAAGTGTAATACGCCTTCAAGCTATGTTAGCTGGTCAGTCTTCGCCAAGCGCAACTTTATTACAAATATTCAATAATTGCACGCAAGATGTTAAAACATTTGTAACAACGAAAGTAAAAGAGATAGGAGAACAATTTTGTGCCAATTACACCAAAAGTTCAGATACTAACGAAAACTCGACTCTAGATTTTGGAAGGAAACGTCTTTGTTTAGGACAAACTCTTTTTTACAAATTTTTAGAGATGATTATTAACGATGAAAAACATAAAAAGCCTAATTATGATATTACGGTAAGTATCACAAATATATTTATAAAAATTATAAACTATGATTGTAGTATAATGTATTAACACTATTTTATATATTTATTTTAGAATTTACTTATGAATGAAAGATTTATACGATGTTTGTTCGCGTGCTGCTTAGAGATAGTTATTTACTCATATAAAAGTAATGATAAGGTGTTTCCATGGATATTAAAGGCCTTGGATTTAGAAGCTTACTATTTCTATAAGGTTATAGAAATAATAGTACGAGCAGAAGAACAATTACCGCGTGATGTTGTAAAGCATTTAAGTCAAACAGAAGAAAGAATATTAGAAGCATTAGCTTGGAAAAAGAATAGTCCATTATGGCAAGCGATTGAATCTACCATTGGTGAAGTACCTAGTTGTGAAGACGTTTCTTTACCTGGTACACTAGAAATAATAGACCAAAATAATACGGGGCAGCCAATATTAAAAAGAATTACTGTTGATCGTAGTGGACATAATGATGTACCACAAAGTCCAATTTCTTCTGCATCCGATAGGTACTTTTTTATAATTGTATATTTGTTGTTGTTTTTGTTTCTATCCATTTGTATATAAATAGAGTGAATTACCGAATACTTGTGTATTTTAAATATATTTATATAATTATTTCAGATTCCAATCACCAATAACGGCATCTGGTATAGCTAAAAAGCGTTTATTTCCTGATACTAGAACTACCGGACAAAGTGTTTTACGTGTATCTTCAAAAGTTGTAATTGATGGTAATTCACGAATACTTTTAACATTACCTGATCAACTTACAGTACCAAAAACATCTACTCCACAAACAACTATTAATTTATCACAAAGCTCATCAATTACTAAGGAAGCTGGAAAACCAAAAAAAACTGGTTCTGTCGCGTTATTTTTTAGAAAATTCTATAATCTCGCATGTGTACGTATGCAGGACCTTTGCAACTCCTTAGATATTACAGACATAGATTTACAGAAAAAAATATGGACAATATTTGAGTATTCGATAAAGGAACGTACAGAGTTAATGAGAGATCGACATTTGGATCAAATTCTTATGTGTGCAGTTTATGTGATATGTAAATTAGTTAAAATGGAGAAAAATTCTTTTACCGAAATCATGCGATGTTATCGTTTACAACCACAAGCAGAGTCTCATATATATAGGTCAGTACTTATTTGCAAAGGACCACAAGAAATAAAAGCACACACTGAAGCATCAGGAAGTAACGAAATTAAAATGGATGAAGAAGCAAATGTGGCACCTCCAACACCAACAAATATGGCAGGAACATCACAAGATTATGGGACTGAGAGACGTGGAGATTTAATTAAATTTTATAATACAGTTTATGTGCCACAAGTTAAAGAAGTTGCTAATAAATTAGGATTGGCTCGTGGAAGTACTCAAACTCTTACATTAAGTCCATTACCTAAAAGTAAAGTGTGCACTAATTCTCCAGTGAGACGTGTTACAGACAGTATTTTAACACGTACACTTGATATAAAAGCAATGAATGCATCACCTGCGCCACAATTAAGTTATTGTTTTAGTCGCAGTCCAGCTAAGGTATATTTTCTTAAAAATATACTATCGATATATATAAGTCTAATCTAAAATAAAAAATTATTATAGATTAGTTTTATTATTATAAATTGTTATTATAGATTGTTTTTCTTTTAGGATTTAGAAGCTATTAATAAAATGATGATTTCTATAAGCGCAAAAAAAAGTGTCAACAAACGACTTTTATCAGATGATACTACTGACGTAGAAATGACAGATGGCGGGCCCTCTCCAATAAAAAAGTCAACGACAGTTGTTAGAAAACTGGAAAACATTATGGACGAACGCCGTACAAAAACACAATAATTAAAGTTCATTTAGATTGAAACAATCTATACAATTTAAGTGAGACTAAAACATGTGAAAATTTGTAGAAAAGATTTTTGTAAAATTTTATTTTTATAGATTAAGTTAGAAGAAAGATTGATAATATTATGATTGACAGATTTATTATCTTTTTTTTTTTGTTTAATATTGTAATTATTGTTAATCACAATCTTGAAAAATTTATGATCAAACAAATTAATGAACGTCAAATCTATGAATTAGCAACGTAACAAATATGTCATATATCAGTTTTAAAAGAGATAAATTTTATTTGTCACTATCAAATTAAAGCTTTTAATGAAGGTGCAATAGTAGTTACTGCTATACTAATACAGAGAAGATTAAAATACAGCATCAATTTTTTTGATATGTAGCAAGAAAGTAATTATTCTTTTATCAGGTGGATCGTATCTGGAATAAAAACAAGCATTTTTCAATCGATCGTATGAAAACTTTTTTTTTCTTTTTTGTTATATGTATATATTTATTAATATACAAAGTTTTTCAAAAATTCATGTCAATACTTTTGGAGATATATCTACACACAAAATACTTAAAAAATGGTCGTATGAATATATGTCTAATATACCTTAGTTTTCGAGTTATAGACAATTAAAGAAAACATTTGAAGTGCCCGTCCTTGCTCCGACCATTCCTATGAATGGATAAAAATATTCTATGATTTGGAATTCTACTTTCCAGGGAGTTTTCTTTGTATAATCGACGTGCTTTCAGTTAATTTCCATTTATACGGCCATACATGAGTTGCACGAAGTTCATTTCAGCATAAGTATTGAAAACTATTTTGTCAATTTCAGAATATTACTAATTGCCGCTAATATTATTCAAGATGATAAGACACTGACTGAACGTAATTATGTGTGCTTCATGCTGATGGACATTATTTGAAAACATCATATAAAATTAAAACATACAGTAGTTTGTGTTGGAGCCAGAAGTGACCACTTGGAAATTTTGAATCATCTGTAACTTAAAACTAAGGTAAATTCGGATAATATATTCATATGACATTTTTTACTTATTTTACTGTATTAATACAATTCCATGAAGTATTGACATATATTTATGAAACTGCATATACTTTTTTGTTTGCATATTTGAAAAATTCTTATATTAATCTTACACATTTTATTAAATAGAATTGTCATTAATTTCGAATGTGTGTGGTTCATTATAAAACGATTGTATGATTAAACGTTTATGATTTTTAAGAAATTTTCTATTTCACAGAACATTCTAGTTACGCGTTTAGTATTTTATAATTATTTTATAAAAGTATAAATCATCTTCATCTCTGTATTGATATTCAAAAATAAGCATGCGTTCCATTCATAGTAATATGAAAATTATGATATATATATATATATATATATATGATGACTTGCTAATTTAAAATCAAGTAAGAATTAAAATATTTTTCTATAAAATCTATGATAAATTATTAGTCGACGAATTATGTTATAATATGCAACTTCTCATTGATAGTGTCCAAAATTACTATAAATAAGGCTTTTTGATTTACGTTTCGTAATAGTCATTAATTGTTATTGTCAATATTATTGACTAATTATACTTTGACTGAAAAATTTGTTATATTTACTTAGATAAATGACGTATATCTAAATTTATATGACTATTATTTGCTTTAGCCATATAAAATTGTAATATTAATTTTACCAAAATATTTGAACATATCAAGAGTAAGACTCGAGTTATACATATGTATATATACAAGGTGTTCCGTAACTGGTGGTACAAATGAAAAGGGGATGATTCTACATGAAAAACTAAGTCTACGATTTAGATTGTAGAATCCCCTTTTCATTTGTACCACCAGTTACGGAACATCCTGTGTATTTACATAATTTGGCTTATATACATATACATTTATTTTCCTTAAGGCATAAGGAATAATTAGAATTTCAATTACCAATGTACTTTTAGTTTGGAGTGTCGTAAGTTATTATGTATATGAAATTTAGTTGATGTGATTAACCAAAAGCAGGAGAGAAGGATTTAATTATTCTCTTTTTTAACAGTTTAGTTCTAAGCATTTTCAAATTCAATTGAAAGTTTCGATCTCATAAGTCTGTCATTTAATATTAAATTATAAGATATATAAGAACGCAAGTTATAAGACACACAAAATTAGGATTTAAAAATTGTAAAAAACATTTCCTTAATCAAGTTAAAAGTTTGTAATTTAAGTTATAAATGAAATGCTTTAATTTGAAAATAATGTTTAAATTATAGTAAAACAAATTCGTAATTTATGCAAAAATTACTCAATTATACAAGGTGTTTCAATGAAATGAGATCACCTAAATATCTCTTTAAATAGTGTAACTTTTACCTCAGAAGTTTTTTTTATACGAAGTCAAGTAACGGAGATATTCAAGTGTTCTCTTTACCGTGACAAAAATTTTAATGTGCGGATTACTTCCTGTAGTATTTCTGAACTAGATTTTGTTTAAAATCTTTGAGAATGAAAACAAAAAAGAAAGAAAAAGATAATATATTTGATTTATAAATATAATGCATTCTTTGCGTGCGATTTTGTTTCAACGATTATGAGAGTTCCTTCAGTCATCTTTTAAATACTGTAAAAATTCGTATAAACATTATATTAATCGCTACTTTTAATATATATGTACATATGTGGTATTATATCAAGTAAATTAATGGAAAGAAATCGAAATTTTTTGTTTCTATTTCTAAGAACGTGTATAACAAATGTTTTTTATTTGTCTTTTACCAAAATTAAATATTAATTTTAAATCTTGTTCCTAAATACGTGATTTATATCGATATCTCGAAGATCGATTTTGATCTTGAATGTCATCTAGTGGCAAATGAGTGAATTAATTTTCAAAGTTCTCTCGTGATAATAGATTCAGTGTTTTCACGCGACGTGTGTACATATACGAAAGTTCTATATAATTATCGTTAAAAATAGTTCAAATATTTATTGTCTTTTTGATTATATCTATTACTTCGATGATTAGTTAAGATAGTTAAGAATGCATAAAAACATAAACATTTCTATCATACCTCACACAGTGCGTAGATTTATTAGTTCGAATAATACAATGTATAAAAATTATACAGTAAGAGAAAGTAAATTCATGAATAGATTTCTAAAACAAAGTGAACCTAAAAGGTAGAAATGAAGTGTGCATGTTATGAAACTTTGTTATGAAATGAATAAAAATTTGTCTAAAAGTTTATATTTAATTCTGTAGAAAGTGGTATAAAGATAAGCCACCTGCTGATTTGGATTTTCATTCAAGTTTGATAAAGGAAAAAAAACCTTCGATACATGCGAAGAGAAGAATAGTTGTACTTAACAAATTGTTTATGAAACACATAACTGACTTAATGTCAACATGCGAAACTACATCAGAGTTTTCAGAACGTGGTGTCGAAATAACAAATGTGAGTATTTCTTCAGATTATAAAACTCTTAATGTATTTTGGATATTAGAGAAAGTGGACGATAAAAATTGGCCAACAACAATAGAAGAAGTTTTAGAAAAGAATTCATATATCTTACGTCATGAACTATCCCAAATGCGTATCATCAGTAATGTACCCATTATATGCTTTGTGAAAGATAAAACAATTTCTCTAGCAAGAGAAATTGAAAATAGATTAGCATCGCTTGACTTCGATAAAGATTATATTGAAGCCAACAATAAAACTATACAATTAGATATTAATAATGACGATGAAACTGATCATTCTAACAATAGTTTTCAAATAACACTACCAGAAATGAGGCATGATGTTTTAGGATTAGATCATCATAAAATTATGTCAAAGGTATAGTTGAATAACTCTAGTCGGTAACTTTATTAAATTCATATCTATTTGATTGATTTATTTGTAGATTAAAAACTCTATAAATAAATCAAAAAATCGTACTAGCAATAAGGACATATTAGAATCACATTCAAAACTAAAGGCACAACCTATGTCTACTTTTCTTGATAACGAAGATATTTCTAAGAGTAAAAATCAACGAGAATTATTTACCGAATTCTTGAAGAAGAGAAAGATAGAAGAAAAGAAAAAATATCGCTTAAAAAGCAACAAACATTTGCAACCAAATGTTCATAGTACATTTAACGACGATGGTGATGATGAAACTTACTTTGATCAAGACTTTGATAATACACTTATGAAATATGATGAAAATGGTGATGAATTTAAAAAATAAAAATTTCACTAAAATAGTTAATAATTTCATTGATATGGTATGTTATTTTATTTTATATAAATATAATACTTAGTAGGACATTTTAGTTATTTGTAAAGAATAATTTAATTATATATTATACACGCAACTATTTCACAATCAAAGAATACGAAAATCTTGATACTAAATTATTTTAATATTGTTTTAATTATATTCTAATTAATAATTGTTAAATTTATATTTCGTAAAGCATATAATTTACTCTTTTTCTTTTTCTTATGAATTTCAATTGATAAAAATTGCTATATATTAAATAATATTCAAAAAATCAATTTAATGAATATTACAATAATGATATTTTAATATAGAAAAACATAATTAAAGAAATTTTAGAAAGCTTTTAATATGATTTAAAAAAATCCTACTTTTTTAATCAAATTATATAACTATTATTATTATAACATTCAAATGTTGAACGTCACATAATAATTGTACTTTCTTTTTCTTTTCTTAAATATAATACATTAATACATGCAGGCCATGTATAGTTCATATGTGCATCTGTGTACATATTATCATCATAAAAATCATTTTTATAAAATAATAAAATATACATTAACTAGATTTTGGTCGTTGTGCATCTAATTCTTGTTCTTCATCTACTCTTTGAGGTTCCAGTGTATCATTTTTTATTTTCAGTAAAACATCATCTTCCGTTGTATATTTTGAAATTATATGTATATTTGAATTTGTTAAGAACTGAGTTGAATCAGTTAAAGTGCATGCTTCCAATACATATTTGTTAAAAGTATCACTTTTATCAGCATAAACATGATGTCCTGCTCCTGATATAACTTGGACATTAACGTACGATGATGAACGAGATTGTTTGATAACTTCACCAGCTGAGTTATCTACCCAAGAACGACTACCGTATAATAATGTTATTGGAACTTCTGGTTTTAATTTATCCATTCGTTTAACAATAGGATTCTTTGCCCAACCAAAGCCTTGCATCATGGCATGAAAAGCACTTTCTCCGCTAGTAAAAAAATTATAATTATATAATAATTATTATGAATACAAATATGGATTATTATAAAAAAATCTTACGATGGAGTTTGCGCATTGCATTGATGTATATATTGTGAAATTATTCCTGTATCGTCTTTTAGTAATGGAGAGAATTTCTGAACTATGTCTGGCCTAGTTTTTTCAATAAGCCATTGTCCTAAAAATATGATAAGGAATTAAATTAAAATTTGTATAATTTGCAAATAAAAGGTATACTTACCAAATGGGCCTGCAACTCTTACTGCCCACAAAGGATTTAATGGCCGCACTACAAAAGCTATGGCTTTAACCCAAAGAGGAACATTTACTTTTGCTACTACTTCTGAAGGTCTTTCTGGGAATCCCCAAGGATCCGCAAGAATCAAGTGTTTTACTCTATCTGGATATTGCATAGTATAGGATGCAGCAAGGAAACCACCCATCGAATGTCCTAACAATACAAATTTTTCTAATTGCATTTCTCTTCTCCATTCTTCGATAGAACGAATTAATTGTTCTTCTGCTTCTTTTGCTTCTGAACTAAAGACTGGCCTACTACTCCTACCAAAACCTGCGAAAATTATTATACTTGTTTTATCCACATATTACAACATTATTTGATTATCATAAAATTAAAATAAGAATTAATGTGATATTCAAAATGTAATGAATTAATCTTAAATGAAATTATATATAACATTGATATAAATAATAATAATAATAATAATTTACTACCTAAAAGATCTATGGCATATACTGGTCTTTGCGATGCAAAGGAATCAAGATTTAAACACCAAAGAGCAACGCCTGCACCTAATCCATGTAAGAGAACAATAGGCGTTCTTGGTGATTCTTCGTTTAAAGAGATAGTCCATATTTTATCGGCTGTACCTACTACGGGACCAATATCTACATACCATCCTCGGTATGCTGTTTTCAAACCTATTAAATATAAAATATTTCATAAAAAATAAATCACACACACAAACATTTAGCTATAATTATAAATTTTCTCATTTAACTTTACTTACAAGAAAGTATTTTTTTCTCTGCAGCACGTAACATGGTTGAAGATGATCCTGACCAACTAAACCATCCCCAAAACCAACTAATAAACAATATAAAATTATTTTTATATGAAATTTAACTTACATAATTCATTTGCTAAAGAAAGACTTTTTGAATATATGTATATAATAGTAAGCATCTATATGTAAATTTAAATATAAAGATTTTCAAATTTTTCAAGTTAACCAATTGCAAGAATTTAACCTAATGCTAACTCAATTATATAAATAAACAAATAACTATTAATTATTCTTATTAATAATATACGTATATTAAAAAAAAGTAATACAAAAAATATAAACACGACAGGGGGAAAAAATACTCACTTCTATTTTCATATTTATAAATATACTTTAAATAAAAATTACAAAATATGACTTCTCATATGCTATAATTTTGCAATAAATATAGATAAACTATTTTTGTTATTAATGTCATTTTCGATAATCAATAATATCTATTTAATTAAAATCAATGCTTTGTGTTTGTTATGATTTCTCTCGTATCAAGAGTAAATACGTATCTTGACAATGATAATCGTGATGCAAAATATGATGAGAAGTGATGTAATGTAAAATATTTCTTACGCGATTACGTGCAAAAGTATGTTCATATATATATATATATATATATATATGATATATATATATATAGATATATAGATATATATCAACACAGTGTAAATTTAAACGTGATAAAGGTTTGTTCAAAGAAACATTTTAATTGACAGTTTTAAAAAAACATAGAAGCATGATCGCTCACCTTTTAGACTTGACAACTTCATGATCAGCCATAAGTTTATTAAATTGTATAATAATTATTAGTTTTTATCCTCGTCGATGACTGTCCACCAACAAAAAGCTGAACTTTGTATACTCAAGTCTTCTGTCTGATAACTGAACACTATACACAAAGCTTTTATGTCGTCTGCTAAAAAACAAATGAGTGGGAGAATCAGCTGATCATTCATTGGTAGAAGATATACATACGACATCCATACATATTATATGTATATATCCTAACACGTAAAAAAGGATTGGTGTTTAGTTCTTGGAAAAAGATACACAAAAATCTAAAATACATATATATTTCTTTATCCCCCTCAATCATTCAGTTTATTACTAACTAAATAAATGCTGCTCTTCTTCCACGAAAGGAAACATAACCTTGACGATCATTTAAAAAGCATAGAAAAACAATGTATGCATTTACGTTTGAAATTTTCGTTATTTTATAATACAAAAATTCACGCCTATTCACATTTACAAAATATGTTTTGTAAATAAATAAATAATATAATGTTTGTGAAGAAGATTAACTTCACGATACTTGTAATACCATTGCGAATGTTTCTTTTAACCCTGACATACATACGTATATTTTCAATGTAACACCACTAATTTAAGTCTTATCAATCGTCGTTATTGTAATTTTCTTTTATGTCATTTTATATATATTGTTTTGAATGTACCCATTTAAGTACGTTTTGCTGACTAGTTTACATTTATATGATGTAAAAAAAAAAACCGAGCGATTATTTGAATTAATTGCAAAAACTTACTCAATTTTACGAAGTTTATCATAAATACAAATGATTATTTTACACTGTTATTATTTAACACTGTTAATTATTGATAAAATTGTTATCAATTGATTTTAAAACGAGAATACTCATTCGATTCTAATTGTGGTTTGTCTATGATGTACAAAATTTTTATGTCATGATAAAACCTTTACTTTTAATCACTGATAAGAGAATCCAAGCTCAAAGGTCGTATTTTCATACAATCGATCATTGAAAGAAAATAGGAATTCAATATCATATACTTACGTATTTACAATTTATTGATATCATATCAAAAATCGTTTCTTAGTATTTGAAAAAAAAGAAAAAATCTTGATTAGCGAGCGCGCCTTCAAGATTTTACCGAACATCATCGAACATTCACGAAATTTATCGAATATAACTTTAAACAAGATTTCATGTCTTGCATTAAATTTACTAGTAATAATTATTATTATAATAATGATTATTCATACACATACATTAGTTGTCTATTAACTAAAATTTTCGTTTAGTTTGATCTGTTTCATTAGTATTCTAATAGGTATATTATTATATTATCTTGATATATATATAATATTCTCAAATTGAGTATCCTTTTAAAATAAAATTAGTTATTATAAATTAGATTTTTTGTTTCTTTTTGATTTTAACTGTATAAATCAATTTAAATGTACATGTGTATATATATATAAATATATATAAGAGAAAAGGAAGAGCTTACCCATACTATGATATCCTACTAATTTGAGCTCTGGTTGAATACTTTTTGCTCTTACACGACGCGAGCTATTCGTTTCAATCACCACATCCTCATTGTAGACTTGCACGATTCTCATTATTCCGCTCAATCGTTTTGTGGTTTCAAAGATATACACATATATTGGCATTGCAAAGTTCAGCAGGTATTCTACCTAATATGAAATATATAATATGTAAATATATATATTTATATATGTAAATGATTCCATGATTATAAAAGAGGACTAAGTCCAACAATTACAGTATTGATTTTACATATGATTTTAAATTATTTATATTATATAATAGTTAAAATCATTTGTATTATAAAATAAATTGCAAAATCAATTTTCTCTATTTTTGGATTCATTGTTAATTTACTTTTTTCCTAATTACATGCATATATATACATATACGTATGTATACAAATTTTATTATTTTGTAAAAAAAAAAAAAAAAAAGTAATATTATGCATAAAAAACCTAAAGAAAAAAAATGTTTAATTATGTATGTACAATTATGACGCAATTTTAACGTAAAAATAAATATATATACACATCTATTGACATTTTTTATTTTTTAACATGTACAACTATTAATTCAAATAGAATGTTAATACTTCTTCTTTGATAGATGCTAAATTTTCGGTAACGAATATTTTATCCAGTAAAAGTCTTTATCCATATACGTATATATATATTTATGGATTATAAAATATTAATATTGGATTTTCATACGCATGCTCGGTAAGCAGAATATTCTATCGACAAAACAACGATCGAAGTACATTTAACATGCTATACGATTCTTGTCTAATCGATTGATTTATTCTTAATTCAAATGAACATAATTTACAAAATTATTAAAATACAAATATATAAAAAATGTCATTTATTTAACAAGTAGAAAACTAAGAGAAGAGATAGAGTCAAGGTTTTTATTAAAAAATTATTCATTTAAATGAATAATCATTTATAAGTAGAACGACGATATTGAGATCCTTAAGAAAAATAAAAGAAGTTAAACATTTAAATGCGAACGTTGTGTGAAAGATAATTAACCGATAGACAGCATTGACAAACGCTAATTATCAATCGACTGTGAACTACTTTTCCGTGGTTCTCACTTTCATTACATTTAAGCGTGAGGTGAAGGCGAATGATAACGATGTAAAACGAGGAACCAATCAGGAATCAGACATAGGCGTTAGCTATAAAAGGAGAAACTAATCAGGAAGCAGGGAAAGGCGTCTACCGCGATGCGATTGGCCGATATGATGAGCCGATTGTTCCGGCGTAAGAGATTCGATAGAAGGAAGAAAAGTTTTCATTCGGATTGGTTGAGGCGTTGCTAGGCAACAGAAACGTCGTGCGCGTCACCGGGCGGCCAAGCAGGACAGCCGGCCGGCCGGCCGGCGTACCCGGCACCCGAACTCGCACGAAGCGTTTCCTTCGGAGTAGCGCAAATCGGCGCAGAACGTCGTTGGCTCTCGTTGAGTGCAAACGCGCGCTTGTTAATTGGTGCGTAATATAGGTCTTTTTTTAATACACATAAAACGCCGGCAGGATAATAGTATTCTTTCCGCGTATATAATATATATCATTTATTCTTTATCTCTCTTTCTCTTTTTCTCTCGTTCTTTTTATTTCTTTTTTTATCGTAAATAATATACTTACATATATACATATATATATATATATATATATACATATAATATACATATATACATATATATATCGAGACAAGCTTTTTTTGAAAAAGAAAAGAAAGAGATTTAAACGAATAAGGAGGAACATCCGAGTCTTCTTTCTCTCAGTAGGATAAAAGTAATTTCGAAGAGAGAAAAACTAACAAGGAGAAAAATGGCAGAGGACAAGAACGAGACAAGCCCGAACGCCGAGGGTGAAAAGCCGCCACAGGAAGCAGCACCGCCCGCTAAACAGGAAAAAGAGGAGCCCAAGGAAACGAAAGAGGAGGAGAAAAAAGTCGAGGAGAATGGCGAGGGTGAAAAGGCGAGAGAGAATGGTGAGGAAAAGCCAACGCCAGAGCCAAAGGATATGCGAGCAATCGTGCTCAACGGTTTCGGCGGACTCAAAAGTGTTAAAGCTCTGAGAAAGCCAGAACCCACCCTTGGCGAAGGAGAAGTTCTTATACGCGTCAAAGCATGGTAAGTTAAATTTCATTTTTATTCATATATATATATATATATATATATACTTATTTTAACTGTCTCTTTTCTTTATCCCATGTATGTATATATTCATTCTTTACTACTGTATAAAAGATTTCCTAAACGTTCTCGTCCGTATGAACCTTTGTTCATGTGTCAGTCGAAGAATTCCAACGTTTAGTAAACTAATCGAACGAAGTGAATTTTTCTGTCAAGGACACATTGACAGATAATATTCATCTCTTGTATCATATATCGTATTCGATCATTTTTCAATAACTATCTATCAATTTTTTATTCTCTTTTTCTTAACTAATTTTATCTCAAAACATTTTCAAAGTATGTACTTATTACATGATATAAATAAAATCACTAAAATTGATATTACTTTTCAATGAGCAGTTTAAATCCTGCAACGAATCTCGATGGAAATTTTCAATAAGGATATCTGTAAAATAATGATATATTTTTAATTGAAAAAACAAAATCAAATTAATTCTAACGCCCCCCACACCGTAGTTTGTAGCCAACGTCGTGCGACTTTGTACGAGGTTTCTTTGACCTTGGCCATGGAGCCGGCTTCTATCTCTCGAAAGCTTATACGCTCTTGGGAGCGTGGCACACCCACTCTCTCTCTCTCTCTTTCTCTCTTTCTTTCTCTTCTTCTTTTTCTCTCTTTCTCTCTCTCTCTCTCTCTCTCTCTCTCTCTCTCTCCGTCGATGGTGGTGTTGTATGCAGTGTACGCGGTCGGGGAGAGATCGTCAACGCTGTATTCAAAGGCGTGCGAGAGAGGACCTTTTCACGCGTGAGTCACGTTTCATAAAGGCGATTGGCATTGATGAGAAAATAGCCCCTCTATAGAAAGACATAATGCCGTTGCTGCCGATGCTGGCTCGAATAAATTCGTGTGTATGGCGGTGCCCTTCCGGACACGACACGCCACGCCATGTCATGCCATGCTATGCCATGCCATGCCATGCCATGCCACCGACATACACACACACAACCGTCTAAAGGAACGATTCCAAACGTCGTCGTTCTTATATAGACGCGCTACTCGAATAAAATAATCTCCCTTTAGAATATTAATGAATTTATTCCATTTTGTGTCCTATTTATTTTTCACATTTTCTTTTCTCAATCTCTATTAACGTTTCCAAGTCATTTGTTTTTTTTAATTAATTTTATTTAAGTTAACTGTGTTCGGAAAATTATGGAATTTTCTTGTTTTTTTTTTGAACTGCAATTTAATTTTAAAGTACAACATAGTAGAGCGTTTTGAAGAATCTTTGAAAAGAGGGATGATTTATTTTTATATCGCCCTATATATATATATATATATATGGTCGACTGTCGAGGACGTGTTTCTTTCTTTTTCTTTCTTCTTTCTGTCTTAAATAAACTTGGTTAGTTGTTTGAAAGGAAATGAAAGGAGCAAGAGGAAAAAGGGGCAAGGAAGAGGGGGAGGGTGAGAAAGAGAGTGAGAGAGAGGAGTGGAGAAGAGAAGAGAGTACGTTATGAAAGGCAGAGTGAAAATCCTAACGACGGGTAACTTGCGTTCATATTAAACCGGAGGGAGCAGTACAACTCTTCTCGATGAGCTGAATGGCATCCGTTCAGTTTCCCATAATGCGATACTAAAGGTTCATTAACTTGATAAGCCGAAGTAACTCGAAGACATAATACTTCCCTTTATCTTTCTAATTCGTTCAAATAAAATGAACGAATATCTGACGTTTCCAATATTTTCAGATTTATTTTATCTTTTTTCTTTTTTTTGAACATCCTTTACTGTCATTATAATTCATAAGGATAAATAAAGAAAGATTTAAAAAAAAAAATAACTATAATAATTTTAATATATAATTATAAGTTAATAATATGAAATATGTTTTTAATTTTCGATCTATATATTATTTATATAAGTCAAGATAGAAATGTTTTCTTTTCCATAAGAAGAATATATATTTCAAATAGAGAGAGAGAGAGAAAGAGAGAGTATTTATTATCCAATGAAAAATAGGCAGACAAATTTTCGGACACCCTGTGGGTGACAGGCCCTCCGCCGTTTCCTTAGTGTGTTGGTACTGTCTGTGTGTATATTGTGTGCGCTCGTGCACCGATAGATCTATGGGATGTCCGTATTGATCGAACCACACCCGTGTTTCCTGCACCCCCCTTCGCACGCACGCGGATATACACGCACACGCGTGCGCAAGAGAAATCCTCCAACGAAACGCCATGACAGTTTCATGAAAGAGAGAGAAAGAATGAGAGAGAGAGAGAGAGAACACAAATTTTACTACCCGCATTAGATTTTCCTCTTCTTCGTTTTTTTTAGTTTCTAAACATAATCAATCTAGTTTTATGACTTTTTTTTTTATTCTATTATTTATCTTTTTCCTCGGCTTACGTAAAAAAAAGAGAGAGAGAGAGAAAAAGAAAGATTGTTAAGAAACGTATACGAGACAATTTTATATATGAAATAGGTGTCTAGAAAAAGGGCGTATGGTTAGATTTCATAAAATTTACAAATAAATTTCTAAGAGTTCATTGCTCGTTGTAGCAATTAAGTAAATGACTGATACAACACACGCCCTTATTTAATTTTTAAATAATAATCCCGTAATAATGATTAAAGTTCTTTTTCTTTTTTAAATTGCAACAAATAAAATAGTATAAATTTATTAACTGATACATATAGAATCCATAATTTATTAATGTGTATAATTTATTAATTGTAACATATAAAATTGGATATTAATAATCAAATTTGATGGAATATATTAAAACATATACGCCTTTTTTTATTTTTTTATTTTCCTGAACACCTATTATTAATACATCAATCTTTTGATCATTTTGTCTATCATACCTTTTTTTGCACATTTTGTTTTAATTTAAATAGACAAGGTCGTAAAACTTGTCGATCTCATTTCTTAATCCGATAGAAATACTTTATAAGGATTCGCATGCGTATTTATTCACACATGTGTATAAATAAATGTTCCCGCAAGAGGGAATATAAGCGATCAAAGTTTATTATATTTATTATTACGAATGTTCGTCATAAGGGGGGTAAACGACGAGGTCAAAGAATTTTTCCGTTAAATTCCCTTTCGTCTTCGATTTATCTCGAGTAATAATCCTTCAACTACGACGATACTCTCTCGCCACACCCAGTGCCAAGAAGAGAAATGAGAAAGAGGGCTGGTTGAGACCAATGTATTTCGAAATAATTATATATTGACAACGAATACACACACACACACACACAGAGAGAAGGGGAAGAATCAATATTTTCTTTCATTAATAGAAAAAAGAAATTTTGTTAACAATTTTAAATAGAATTAGGAATTGTAATTTGTAGGGTGTTGTGTTGTACAAAGTGTATATCATTTCAATCAATTCATTGACAAATAATGTCTAAATTTGTTAACTAAATTTACAATAATAAAATAAATATGTATTTAATATTCCATTTTCTGCATGCATATGAGTCAATTAATTGTTGTTTTATTCGAGGTTATCGTTGCAGGTTACTCTTTCTTTCTTTCACAAACATACATTCTTATTTTCCTCATCGCGTTGTTATACTCATAATATTTTTTATCATTTCTTTCTTTCTTTTTCTTTTCTTGTTAATAATAAATGATATATAAGTCACTCTTACGCATCGTATATGCGCGATCTGCATTGAAAATGACTCAGATCTTATCAATTACGTTATCTCTTAGAAAATGATTAATCCGGAAAGGAGGGCGTGTGATACGTTTGACGCATACAATTGATTGTAAACACCTTATTTAATTAATCAAAAAAAGATAGAGATCTACATATAAATAAAAGTACGGTAAAAATTTATCAAATAACCTTCCCTAAAAGAATTCTGATGAAACCCTTTATGACAATTATTTTCAAGCATTACAAGTAGATAATTAATATCGAAAATTTAGTTTTAATATTGGAATCATTTTCTATAACGAAATATACATTAATTCATTTGATACGTACATAAGTAAATTATATTATGCATGTATATATATATATGATAAAGATTTGATTTGAAATAATTTCTTTTAGTAAGTTGTGTTATTGACTCATCCTGTGTATATATATATTTTTTTTTAATATTGTTTCCACTCTCGGAAGTTGGAAACAAATTAAATACATAGATATATGCATTTACGTATATGTATATATGTATGTGTTATATATATATATATATATAAAACGCACATGAGTCAGAAAAAGAACATATCGTGTGCGTGTTCAGCAGCTGCTGTCTTACCGTTTCGATTCTTTGTTTTTCGCGTAACTCGGCGTCATTTTGTCGCGCCATTTCACATATATATAATATATTTATTTATATATTTTATTCTCAATTTAATTACAATACTTTACATTTTTATTGTCTTTACAAAATTAACTATCACTTTATTGAACCGTGGGAAACTTGTAAAAGAAGAATTATTCATTAAGTTACTTATACCCCCCCGCCCTCTTATTTCCTTTGAATTTAATCGTCTTCATTTTCTTTTCCATTCTCTTTATATTTAAATATATTAATTCGATAATTAGCTACACAATGTTTCTTTTTTTTTATTTTTTCTTGTTTTTCTATACAAAAGCCTTGAATATAATTCAATTAATACAATTTATTGTACCGTTGAAAATCAAATAATTATCATTTATTAATTATGATTTTTCTTTCATTTTTTAATGTAATCGTCTTCACATTGTGTTATTAATCTTTTTTTTCTTACGCATACCAATCGTAAGTCACACAAGACGAGATAATTAAATGGAAAGATCGTTTCTGGAGCGATAAAAAAGTAACAAAGAATTATCCTTTGGTATTATTATTTTTTTCCCCTATCTTTGTTTCTCTCTCTTTTTCTCTATCATTTGATGTCTCTCGAATCGTTTGAAAACAATTGATAACTCTCGATGATGTTGTGTGGTGGTGTAGAAGTCGGGGGTTATTTATCGTACAC